GCTCTGGGGGCGGATGTCACATGGTCACTGTGGGCGACCCCAGGCCTGGCTGCAGGCTCTGCAGCCGGGACCACCAGCCCCTCCGCTGAGCCTCTGCCTGAGGCTGGGCCAGAGCGCCTGACCCCACTCTGTCTGCTGCCAACACAGGGCTCGGCGCGTCTCACCGAATACGTCACCTGAAAGCACCGTGGGTGAGCCTCTATCCGCCCCTGCCTGCCACCCGCCTTGCGGTTGTGGCTTTTCTCCATATCACAAAGGAAAACAAGCCCGAATTCACTCAATGTGTCTGCACAGACTTGTCAAAGGGCCCCCCCCCCAACCCCGGGCCCTGCAAGGCTGCCCTTCCTCATTCTCAAGCCGCCCAGCGCCCTTGGCCCAGCAAGAGGGAGGAGGCGCCAGCGGGAGCTGCTCTCCGTCAGCACTTTTGCTCGGAAAACTCAAGACGCCCACGATGGCCCCCACGTCAGTCTCCCGTGACATCTCCATACTGGGAAAGAGCTGCTCCCAGAGGCCCAGCGCCTGGCAGGCCAGTGTGGAGCTAGTTTCACTGTGGGGTTTTCGGTAGGGAAGAGCTGAACGTCAGACTCATACCTCTCCAGCTGCTGTCTGGGGCGCGCTGAGCGTGACCTTGTCCCGACGGCTCCATCGGTGTCAAGTGGCACCGGGTGAGAATACCGAGGACCTTCCGGAAGGACATGTCGCAGGGCAGTTTGCCAGAACCAGAAGCACCCACCTCTATCTCCTAAAAAAAAAAAAGGAGCTCTCACGCCTCACTTCCACACGGAATGTCGAGAAACCAGACGAAGGGCAGGAGAAAGACAAAACTTGCGGCTGAGAGTGGCTCTGGGCACCCAGCGGGGAGGGGTGGGTGAGGGGTCGGAACAGGGATGGAGGAGCACGAGGGGCGGGAGGCCGGGGGGCCGTGGTGGGAGAGCCACGGGGACCGCCCCGAGGGGGACGGCGAGGGCGTCCAGAAACACAGGATGACGTAAGAAAACAACAACAAAGAGAAGGGAGAAGGGGGGGGCAGGAGGGGGACAGAGGAGAGGAGGCAAAGGCGGAGGGCGCAGAGGGGGACACCAGCCTCGCCCCTCCTCATGGCCCGGCCGGCCGCATCCTGGGACACGGCGGCTGCGAGCGTCTCACAGGCTGCCCCGCTCTGGGCTTGGAGGATGGGGGTCCTCAGGGGCGACAGCTGTGTGCAGAGTCTCAGTTTCAGAAGGGGCGAGTGGGAGGAGCGCTAAGCAGAGGGCACCTGGGGTGCCGCGGACCAGCACAGCAGTAGACGATGAGGCCGTCTCAGGGTTGAGAGACTGCGCAGGGTGGGCAGGGATTCAGCTAAGAAATGACACACAGACACACTTCAAGAGAGAGTGTGAATCTGAGTGCGCTTTAATTAAGCTAGTGGTCAGTATATATATGTTTTTTCTAAAGGCATGGGAACAGCGAACATCAAAGAGATCGGTTTGCTCATAGGCTTAGCTTAATTGACAGGGCAGGGATTTGTGTCCGAAGTGACACCTGGACCTAGCCGCATTCCTGGTTGGACAGGCTGTTCATTCTTTCTACTGTTCCATAGAATCGTTTTCTAGTTGCACTAACTATCACTATTACCTACTCATGTTTACTCATAATTGTCATGGGTGAATTTATTTTATAATGCAGTTAATATCATAGGTACTAAAGTCAAGCACATAATAGAAGATTATTAAACCAACAATTCTATTATTACACAGTGTTTAGTAATGTTTCATTTGCATTAGCCTGTTTATTAAATTACGTATGGTTTTTAATTAGCAATCAATGACCAGAGAAAGGAAAGATTTTAGAGAGACAGTTGTAGCAGAATAAAGTTTGTGGGCCTTGAGAAAGCGAGATAAGGTTCCAGGTGGTCAGCATTTCTTTTAATCATCTCTGTGGCGGCTTCTGGTGGTCGTTCTCTCTTGGCAGGCATTCGGCTTCTCTGCATCTTAGCGAGTTTGCTGTTCCCCTGCGTGCTGGTTCCTTGCCCACGCCGGACCTCAGGGACCATGGCAACAGCCATGAGCCCTGAGGGTCACTGCAGGGGGAGGTGCAGCACTGGGGCACACACCGCGCCCCGCCGCTGGGGAGCCGCGCGCGGGGTGGTGGCCTGGGCCCGGGCCCAGAGCAGCGAGGGCCTCGGGGAGGTGCGCAGACAGCAGCAACCAGACCGCGGCTGGGACTGGGGCGGAGCAGATGAAACAGAGCGAGCGAGAGCCTCGCCTCCACCCCACAGCAGCGCCAGCCCCCAGCCCCTGCCCGCTGCTCCGCCGCCCAGGGCCCTTCTCGCCCACCCCAGACACACGCTCATCCACCTGGAAAGATGGGGGGCACTCCCGAAGCTCCTCCTCCACTGGAGCAGCGTGTGGGGAGTGGACTGGAAACTCGGGGTGCTCCCGTACCGCAGCGG